AAAAAAAAAAAAAAAAAAAAAAAAAGAAGAAGAAAAAAAAAAAAAAAAAAAAAAAAAAAAAAAGGGCGCGCCACAAAACGACAGTTTCTTGCTATCCGACGGCGGGCGCCTTGAGATATTCCCTCGCATCGATGCCCGCCGCCGCTCGGCCCCATGGGCGCGCTCTCTCGTTTTCTGGCGCGCTGTGAACAATTCGTTGCATGCACAGCTCTGCACGCCCCCCCTCCCTCGATTGCCTTCATCCGCTGGCCAGCATCAAAACGTCGGCCCGATTTCGGCGCGCAGCGGAACACGACTGCCCCCCGCCGGCCGCTCGCGCTTAAGGGGTAGGAAAACATGGAGTATGGAAAATTTGCCACTTATGGGACGACGAGAAAAAAGATTGGGTAACTGACCAGGAACTGACCTCTCGTCTCAAGGGATGTCACCGGGGAGATAGGAACCTGCAGATCATCAGCAACTGCATCCCAGAAGGTTGGAAGGAGCTGCTAAAGGGAGCAACTACATGGAAAACAGGTGAATGGGGAATCCGGATACAGGAACAGCCCCCCTCGAAAGCCTATCAATTCTCACACAAGGAACAGAGGTCGAGTACGGTTGCAATGTTCACATCATACCCAATATTGCTGTCAGCCCATGGCTCCGCTTCTATCGCAGACAAAGACGTGGAAAGAACAAGCCTAAATACCCTCCTCCTCAGGAAAGTGAGAGTCATGGGCACCTGGCCCAAAACAATCTTCAGAGAGGACACTGCGATCCAGGATTTGGAATCCGACCCAGCAGAGTGGGCGTGTACATCAGGTAGAAACAAGAATATCAATACAGACATCCAGGGCTACTCAGTGAGAAAGGGCTAAAAATTATTCCTCAAGACAAAAGATCCGGAACCCAAATCTGTTGTTGTGGGTGTTTGTTTATTAAAAAAAAAAAAAAAAAAAAAGTCGATGGTCAAAATTAATCGGACAAGAAGCAGACCAGATCTCACAGATCCCATGGAAAAAATTCAAATCGATTAGGCCTGTCAAAATTAGGAGCCTGCAATGGCTTTTCGCCTATGTGGCGTTGCCGGTCAACCAATGGCTCCATATTCGAAGATGGAGGAATGACCCCAAACAGTTCTGAACTATGCACAGTCTGTTCAGATAGCAAGCCGGGAGACATTCTTCACTGCCAGATACACTGTAAGGAAGTGACGGAGTACTGGGCCAGGGCGTCGGACCTCTGGGACTCCCTTTTCTCAAAGCCCCTTGCTGAAGATCCCATCCAACTTCTAATATGGACTAACATCCCGGCTCATTTCAATAACACAGAAAGGACATGGTTTGGCATGATCAGGAGGGTAACACTCTGGCCGATTTGGAAGGAAAGATGCAGTGGGACTATCGAAGGGCTATCATCACCAAGAGAAAAGGTATGGGCGGAGACAAGGACCTTGATTCAGTGCAAATGGCACAAGACAAGGCACTCCTTGCCTGATGACGAAGACCGGCAACAGAGTATCCTATCCAAGTTTATCAAAGTTTGGCAGGTGGGAAGGGAAATAGCAGAGTTGACAGACTTCAACATACAATGGAAAGAATGGCATAACTCGGAAACCAGCTGGAGAAGTTCAAGACTGCACTCTTCGGACGGCCAGCAGGGTCAACAGACCACATAAGGATGATAAAAAATCCTCGAAGCTACCCAAGAGTAACCTTTTTGTCGTTTCTCGGTTTTCCTTGTTTTTTCGAAGCTTTAGCTGACAGATTTTCAGAAAGGAAATCTGAGAGGGAATTCAGGGAATGGCAAGCTGACAGTCAATCCTCCTATCAGGAGTAATCAATGCTGGTCAGGGTTCCTTCGGCCATACTGAAGGAATCGTGAGGGTGTTCTATGTTGTATTCAATTTTGACTTGCCGGGGGAATAGGAACCGGACTGACGCTTCCCAGAATGGATATGGATCCAGGACCATAAGGACCTGTTTAGAAAAAAAGAAAAAAAAGAAAAAAGTTCAGGTGTTTACCTACTGCTGACACCTGACAGACAGCAGTAGTATAGTACTGCAGTGCTCTACCATTTTCAGTTCTATGCTATGCTGATTGTTCCAGAACTGGTCGAAGTAGAGATGGAGTCATTGCAGAGTCTGTGTGTTTTCTGGTTACACCGCCTGATCTGGTTTCTGGGTTTCGGACTGAATATTTTATCTCGGTCAGACACCAAGCTGTAGTAGGTCCTAGTAAGGACACTAGCGCAGACCATGAGCTGCTATAGCTGATGAGCGGAACTGGTAGTGAAGGGAAGAGAAGTGATGATAGAAGGTTGAGGCGGCAGGAAGCTCATAGTAGACCTGTTGTGTTTCAGGTCCTGTTACCCAATCATGAGAGAAGATTGTGGGCAGAAAGTGCGGCACAGCGTTTGCATAGAGCCAGCAGTGGCCCAGCAGGCGATAGCAGCAGCAGCAGCTGCTGCAGATGCAATGAATACTGCAGCAGCTGCGTCTAGCACGCAGGTACAGGCGCAGGGCACACATGCTGTACAGTGCAGTCTCCTTCCACGGGTGTGAATCAGGGCGCATCCTCGAAGCAGATGGCTGGCTTGCAGTTCAGCCAGCCACTCCAGCTCACTGGGAGGGTCTACAGATCCAAGAGACAAAAAATACTGCCTTCGGCTAGAAGCCGAACTCAGGGAAGCAGCAGATAGAGAAAAGGAGAGCTAGAAATAGAAAAACTAGAGTGGAGAACAAGGACGAAGACAGGGCTACCATAGAGGGACCAAGTGACTCCGTTCTAGACGATACCACGAAAGCCCTCAAAGCCAGAGTGCTGAGCATTTATGAGTACATAGCTGTACAAGACAGCAAGATGGATGAGCTCCAGTCTACCTTGGACCAGGTACCCCGGGCCCTTCGTCGCTTGGGAAGGCCAGGTCCCTCCACAACGGTCGGGCCTAGTATCATGCCGCAGCCTGTTGTCCCATCACCGTCAACTTTACCGGCGATGGCAGGGTCTTTTGTTCCCCAGTTTGGTATGCCTGTAGCAGATGGACAGTTAGTGGTAGGTACGCGGACTCAGGATTATTCTTCCTTGCAGCAAACTGCTGCAGCTGCAGGGCAGCAACAGGTCCAGCAACCTGCACAGCTGCAGGTATAGCAACCTCCACCGCAGGCCGAGGGTTGGGATGGCGATGGAGCTGGAAGGGACAGACGCAGCACCACCGGAGACTCAACACGCACGTACTTCAAAAATGTGCAAGTCAACAATGACTTGCATACTGACTACAACTCGGGTATACCCCCAACAGACTGACTGGACTGGATTGGTACCGACAACGGTAATGGACTGGACCGGACTGAATAGACACACAGCCTGTGGGGTCAGACCAGTCCCACAGGCCGAACACGCACATAGCCAAATAGCCCTGGCTATAGGCGAGGGTAAACAGAGGCCCACTGCACGATACGTAGACCTGTAAAAGCCAAACACACGCTGTCTGCAAAAGCAGCGGAACACTGCAAGCAATAAAGCTAAGAAATCTAGGATGAGGAGCAAGCTCCATGAGGACTCCATATATAATGTCATGAAGAAAAGCAAACGTCTGATATACACATCCTAACTAACAACAAGAAATTAAATATAGCGTCATACAATCGTAAAGTTTTTGAGGCAACTGCCTCAATGCTGAAACGGACCCAGCATCGTCGGAGACTCAGCACGCACGGACTCCAAAAATGTGCAAGTGAAAAATGACTCGAATACTGACTGCAACAGGGGTATACCGCCAGTGGACTGACTGGACTGGACGACTACCGACAACGGTAATGGACTGGACTGGACTGAAAAGACATACGGCTTGTGGGGTCAGACCAACGGCCTGGTCCCACAGGCTGAATACGCACATAGCCAAATAGCCCTGCCCACTGCACGATTCTTAGACCCATAGTGGATTACAAAAGCTAAAAACATGTTATCTGCAAAAGTAGTGGAACTCTGCAAACAATAAAGCTAAGAAATCTAGGATGAGGAGCAAGCTCCATGCGATGCCTAAGCTATATAATGTCACTAGCTAAGCGTTAGCAGTGCGGGCGGTGCGGGCTATGCCCGCAAAAATAAGAAATGGTGTAGGGAACCTGACACAGACCACTTGCATAAACTCAAACAGACATAAAAAAAAAAAAATTGAATCACAGGGTAATAAAGAGTAGCCCAAAATTGGCTACGAAGTCTGAGTTTAACTAACGATTAATTTTTTATTTATTTATTTAAATTTGATGAAGGTGCAAGGAATATGAGTTTGAGCGATATACATAAAACCAAGTTGCGAAATCACACAACTGAGCAAGTAGTAGTATCCCAAGTAGAGTGTACAAATGCACTGAGAAAACCATCTATAAAGAGCAATACAATGAAGTATTGAGCCAATGTCCAAGCCCGTA